TGAGACAGCAGGTGCTGCGCTGAAGGCAAAGGAATTGGAATTAAACAGAAATGAAGTTTAAGGTCGACTGAGGATGTTATCTTTACAGGTCAGCCCGGTAGCAACAAGATTAAAGAGAGTGTCGTAGGGAAGCAAAACCATCATTTTAGTCTCCTCCAATAGACCATTTATCTGCAAATGAGAAAACCTTTAAAGTGGAATATTCTACAATAACATATTTAAAAGATTCCTAAAAGTAGCCATTGTATACAGAGTGTATCTTGCCTTTCTGTTAGGCATATGTCCCAAGGTTAATTCATGCCTTTGAAGAGGTTAGCCGACGGATCCGGATGCAGGAGGAGGAAGAGAACGGAGGGAAGCGTTTTCCTCTGGACACACACAATAGAAGCAGGCGTGGAGGGAGAATGGCATTTTCGGTGCCATGAGAACAATTTGAAAATGATTAGTTCTAGTTGCAGATCTGCGTACAATAACAAGAGGGGAAAAAATGCTCCCTTTTGTAAAAGGTCTGAGAGTAGTACTGAAATTCCATTTTACAACCTAAAATAGAAAATTGATTTGATTCACATCTCGCATTTCAGCGTAACTAAGGAGCTTTTAGTGGTGGGTGGGAATGTGTTTACTGAGGGTTATAGCAGGATTTTCGGGACGCGGACACTTTCTGAGTGAAGAATGTGGAAGAGGCTTACTCCTAACCACCAAATACTGAGCGGCCAACTGTGTGCCCTCGATGTGGAAATGCCTGTCAGGCATCCAAGCAGTCAGAGGAAGAAACGTCCATGAAGGTGGGTGTGAAGCCAGCGGGCAGGTGCTTGGAGCCACTGACAGGTAAAGGCTGCCCAGGTGGCCGGACGAACAGAGCTGCCCCCAGGGAGAAGCACCGCCTTAGGGTCAGGGGTGCAGTGCTGACCAGAATGAATACCCTCACGGGACTCCCCTGCCTGGGGCAGAGGACGGCCAGTGGGTAATAATTGGTGAAAAGAAGCATGTGACACAGTGCGTCTGGAAGTGAGAAGGGCCATGAAAAGCACACAGCAGGGCAGGGTGAGCCAGGAGGCCGGGATGGTTAGGGGCGCGTGCTACGTTTTCATAGCACGGGGTCCACAGAGCAAACTCAACAGGCGAAAATCTGTGAGTGCCTGGGGATGAGGAAGGAGTTACATGGATGGTTATGTGGGTGAAAAGTGTTCCCAGGAGAGGGGGCAGCCAGTGACGAGGGGAATGAAGGAAGGGAAACGGAGAAAGGCAGCTTCCAGATGTTTCTACTGTTCGTTTTGGGTGATGATTCCCAATAACTAATTTTTTCAGATACTTTTAGGGCAACCAATTTTGTGCCGCTCTTAAGAGGCTAAACATTTCCTGTAAATACACATTTCTATACAATGCTTAATTTTAGGAAACTCAAACCCAATGACTATCAAGGATAAAAATCAAACGCTTAACGTTAAGTATACTGTTTTTCAATTATTTGGGTTGTTAATTTAACTAATTGGTATTTTAAATTTGAAGCTCTTAAAATCTGTAAAATATTTATAAGAGAGCGAAGGAGTACCACACACAGACAGTGTTGAATAATAAATCTTTTCAATAAGGAAATGGGAATGTCATTTAGCATTTTTGTTATTTGCCTTCCTCTGAGCGTGTCAAATATTGCAGGGCAGCGGGATGGCAGATGTAATTAAGTGTGCAGAGGACTGAGAGGAGGGCTTTTTCCGGAAGCTATGCAAATGAGAAGATACGCACAGATAATTAATTACCTGAGTGCCACATTCTGTCCCCCATTTGGGCCCAAGATTGTTGTGAGGTAGGATAAGTGTGTGAGGTATCTTTGATGTAAAGTCTTTGCTGCAAGGTTTAAACACTTCTAACCCCGTTAGTCAAACAGATGCCTGAAATATGACTGAAGATTTGACACCTAATACGTCTCAGGGGAAATCAGGAGACGTGGCCATCAGTCACCCTCGGAGGCCGCGTCATGACTGCGGAGTAGTTTTCACCAGCACCTGATGATTCACACCTATTTCGCAGCAGAGAGAATATTTATATTCCAAAAGTAATCACAGCTTGGAGATATTTAAACTACATTTTGTATTTTACCGAGGCAAATAAATTTGTAGGAAATGTAATTATTATTTATAACCTGGTTATTTACTGCAGTAAATATTAGATTTGAACAAGCTTGAGAGAAACTGGCAATTGTCCAAATGAATTTCTGTGGTATGCGTATTTTGAGAGGGAACCAAGTTCACTGTGCTTGAACAGTCCGGTGACCATTTGTGGATGATTATGAAGCACTTTGGAAGCTCCATGGGTTGCTTTGCTCACGGATGGTCAAAGCTTGCAGCCAGCACTGAGCATCTCAGTTCCGACTCGTGCACCCCGCCCCAGGGAGTCACCACGCCTCCGCTGCCCCTGAACCATCCATTCCCAACGACCCACCACGCCGTCTCTGTGTGATATTCACACACTCGTGCTCTGAGAAAAGAGCTAACACTGCCCAGAGTCCCTCGTTAAGCTCTGAAAGGCTGGGGTTCCATACCCATTTGCATGCTCTCACACACTCCAAAATATGGGGTGCACGTGTGTCGGGAGCAGCTCCTGGTCTTAACTGTTACATGAGTTACATGGGACGGCAGCACCGACCATGGTGTATTTCAAAAGATCGCCCCCACCCCCCATGATTGCGGAAGCCACGATTTACTTGTTGAGTTTCCAGGATGCGCACACCTGCCCTACAGAGGCCACAGCTGCTGACCGACTGCAAACCCTGTCTGCTAGTGAAGTCTTCAGCAAACCGCCGTTATACACGGCTGCAGTAAATGGACGCCGGCTTTCACGGTGATGGTAAAATGCCCACTTCTCAGCTCAACTGTGTATCTTGGTTCCCTGCAGGGAACATCAGGCCAGAAAAGGGATTTCAAGTCCATCTGTTCACAGATGTATGGCTAAGCCTGTGTGACAAATGGGCCACGTCCGTGGTCTTCTTCCCATGACCGTTTAATTTCCTGATTCGAGTGCTCTGACCTTGGTACTGGGCTCCTTTCCCTGCAGAAGCAGCAGCTGGCATGGGCCCTCGAGGCCGTTCCATGCTCCCTCCCACACGTGGGTCATGATGCTGCACTGAAGTCTTGTCCCTAGAGCTGGTTCCTTCACCCCGCACTGCAGGCCATGCAGAAGCAACCACACCAGACACAGGAACACGAATCACCCAGAACTACTCCAACTACAGTAAGTTATGGTAAGTGATACCCTGCCTGCCATGCTGCTGAAAACTCACCTGCTCACCTGGAATGCATCTAAATTGCTTGCCCGTGAATTAGCAGTTCCCAGTGCTAACAGGGATGCTGGTTTTACTATCTTTTAGCTACAAGTTCTGGGAAATGTAATTGAAGCTGACAAGGGCTACACAGACTTCCCTCTACTCCCTAGTTTCTTGTGTGTAACCTGTATAAATGCCTACACACACACACACATGCACACACACACACTCACGCGTGCGCACACACACACGCATGCACACACACATGCACGTGCACACACACACAAACATTCACATGCACGCATGCACACACACACGCACATGCACAACCACACACATGCACATACACGCACACACACACGCACACTGTTTGGGTATTTACAACTCCAATCGCTACTAAGCAATCCTTCCCGTCACATGCTCTCCTTCTTCAAGGCTAAAACGCAGCTCTTTGCATTTCAACAGACATTCAAGGAACAAATTCAGATGCAGAGAACCAACTGATGGTGGCCAGGTGGAGGGGTTTTGGGGGTCTGGGTGGGAAAGGTGAAGGATTAAGAAATACAAATTGGCAGTTATAAAATAGTCACAGGATGTAAAGGACAGCACAGGGAATACAGTGAATAATATTGTAATAAGTATGTATGGTGCCAGGTGGGGATCAGACTTATCAGGGGGATCACTTCATAAGTTATATAAATGTCTAACCACTATACTGTATACCTGACACTAAGATAATATTGAACATCAACTGTAATTGAAAAATTTTATATATAGATATTCATAGGGATGGTCATTGATTCATTTTTTGACTCATTCAATAGCCTATTATTTATTGAGCAACTATTATGTGATAAAAATT